CCTTGGGAAAAGTTACGAACAAACGGGTAGGTACGAGGTGGCTTCGACACGTCGTCGAAGCTACTCGAAAGCTGTGGGAAGTTAGCGACGATCGAAGCTCGGCAGAGCTCTTCGATGTATCGTAGAAGGAAGGGACACGACTCGATAGGGTGTACTTAGCTAGGGCGCGGTTCGCAGTTTCTTCGACAATAGTCGAAGTCGAAGGGTTCGTCGAGACGGTATCGACGAGTAACGCAGTGGACGAGGTTTCGAAGTTACGCAGCGAGGGACGAAGTGACGCAGTTGAAAGTTTAGACGCGGGGCGAACTCGACTTATGAGCTCTGAACTCGAGGGGGGGAACGGATCTTGTATTTTTAGGGAGAAGTACGACAGGTTTTATACTACACAGGACGCTACGACTATTCGAGAGTGGCATACGAGTACAAGGGGCTTTGCATTGTTCCTCAAGAACCTGTCTCACCGAGAGGCACATACCAAGTCCATCAGTAGAGTGACGTCATGCCGAACGCGGGGATGAAGAGCAACATATGGCCACTTCGGACCGGTAGCCGTCGTGAAGGCATGCCGCGAGGTTCGATACCCAATCGGGAAAGACCGGCTACTTCGGTGTGGCTTGGAGCGAAGCGCGCGCTTGGCCGAGCGGCGTCAAGTGGCCCTATTGTTCGCCGAATGCGGAAGATGTTCCGAGGTCTACGCACGAGGCATCGGGAAGACCGTGCCGAGCTTCGAGTAAGCGTCGCGCACCGTCGAAGGCGTCGAAGAGCGTCGAAGGCGAAATCGAAGTGTTGGGGACTGAGTCGAAGTGCCGGGCGGGATGCGAGTGCCGAAAAGAGGTGTATCGGGGCCCAGCGGGGCTCGGCGCCTATCAACGCATGGCTGTTTCTTGACGGTGAGCAGCTTATAGACGCCCATACAGGTCGAAACAGGGCGCTTATGGGCGCACTTTTTTGATGTCATGCCTATATAGGATAGATGACGATGGCGCTGTCGTAGTGGGGGTTTTGTGCTTGCGGGATCGGAACCCGGGTGTTGTCGACATTAGTACAGCCTCCTCGTGGACTGAGAGTTCGGGATCAGATTAGATAGAATAGCCCCAGCGCTAGCTGAGACTGGAAGGAGTGAATTGCGAAGAGAGGATCGCGTACCTGGAGGATTTCGTAGACTTTGTGTCACGAGTTGGTACAGCGTCTAGCCGTTTTTTAATTTTTTCCTTTTTGCGGGCTCAAACCCGCGACCTCTGTACTACATGCCTGATATGGACGTGTCATTATCTACTATACGATTAGATTAGATGGGGCGGCAGTGCACGGCACAGCTCGGGCTCTGCTGACACAGCCTCTCTGACTCACCGTGTGAGAACGACGCTGGAAAGACCGCCGGCAGCCAACGTCCTCGATGGACAGGGATCAATGGTGGATCAGGTTACAAACCGATGGGGCTACCTATGGCGCGCGACGCCTACATAAGTCCTATTCCCACACTGGCGCATGACCACGTGACCCGGGCCGGCAGTGACGCTTGCCCGACATACCCAAAAGTCAACACACCAGCCCCTGGGGCCGCGTCAGCATGCTGTGCACGGACCAGCTGCGCATGGACCAGTGCACACAGCCTACCCTTATCTCCCCATGTATATAAGCCGGCCTCTGCTGCCCTAGGGACCTCAGTTTTGACCTCTTGTCCCTAGGTCAGTAAGCCCCCTCTTGTATTCTCTCTTACCTCACTAATATATTCACTTGTCCCTAGCCTTAGGTTTGAGCGTAAGCTTACCATCGCTTCGGTAAGACCCAGTCGAACACCCCCAGCGTCCGTTGTTTGTGTTTCCCCAGTCGCGTGACCCTAAATTGCGACATTAGGTCGAAACTCCTCACCGCTGCCGGTGTTCCTCGAGACCCACACTCACTTTCCACTTCTGTCACGAGTTGACATGGCGTCTAGCCGTTTTTTAATTTTTCCTTTTCGCGGGCTCGAACCCGCGACCTCTATACTACTTGCCCGATATGGACACATCACTATCTACTGTACGATTAGATTAGATGGGACGGCAGTGCGCGGCACAGCTCAGGCTCCGCTGATGCAGCCGCTCTGACTCACCGGCCCCCGGGGCCGTGTCGGCATGCTGCGCACGGACCAGCTGCGCACGGACCAGCGTGCACAGCCTGCCCTTATCTCCCCATGCATATAAGCCGGCCTCTGCTGCCCTAGGGACCTCAGTTTCGACCTCTTGTCCCTAGGTCAGTAAGCCTCCCTTTGTATCATCTTCTTACTTACTCACTAATACATTTTCTTGTCCCTAGCCTTAGGTTTGAGCACTGCTCACCATCGCTTCGGTAAGATCTAGTCGGATGCCCCCAGCCTTTCAAGTTTTCTCTAGTCGCTTGACCTCAAGTCGCGACATTAGGTCGAAACTCCCCAAGCTGCCGGCGTCCCCTCGGGACCCCTTAAATTCACTTTCCTTTCCCACAGGTCGGGTGGTGCGCACCCCTACGGTACATTACGATACGTAGATAGCGTACATACATCGCCACCACTTAGGGAACGAACTCTTCAGTACCTGCACTTCAGTGGGCAGTACTTGTCCTCACGGACGCGTGGACTAGGTTCCTGCTGCATAATAATCAAAAACAGTACTGG